CTAGCTAAGCTTGGGGGTTTGGTCTTGACGATGAAGCTAAAAGTAAAATCTGGAGTGTAATGTACTGGTGGTTTACGTTTTGTAATTTCTCCTCCTGTTCCAGGTCACTCAATGCTGCTATGAATGTCTCCATCTTTAAAATAAATAAATAAAAAATAAGCTAGCAGAAAGACCCCTCAGATCCTTTCTAATCTTACTGAGATGCATCCTGAAGTTCCTCAGTATCCGAGAGTATGGCAGGTAGATAGCTGTTGGTGATACTAACTTCATTGCTAGTCAGTGTTCCGTGTGTATAATGCGCTTATTTTGACTTTAATAGTTCCTGTTTTGAGAATGTAACAATCAGCATCATGCTGTTGTGCAGGTGCTAACCCCGCGGGATGAGGCTGGCGTCGCAAAGGTGCGTGCTAGGCGGCAGGGGGTCTGCTGGTCACACTGAGCTCTCGGCACAGTGCTTTTTCCAGGTAAGGAATTGTGTGTTCCTCCTCATGCGTAGGAATAGCACATCATGTACATACTAACATTGCCTCAAAATGTATGAGCCAGAAGTTGAAAGACAGTTATTTTAAAAGGTTCTTCAGTTAGTTATTGCTGATAATTCTAGATTGCTGAGGAAATCTGCAGCTTGGCATGACCTGCCCGGTCAGTGAAGCACTGGTATTAGATTGTTTGGTTGGCTGCTTCTGCTGCTCAGTAGGCTGAAGTGATTTAAATGCCAGAAGCTGGGCTTGTAAAAGCTGCCCGAAAGGTGGATGGAAGTAAAGAGTTCAGGTAGTTTTCATTAGGCAAATGCATTTCTTGATGTATATTGAACATATGGCTGGCTGAATGGGAGCTAACAGGGAAATCGGAACAGAGCTAATAGAATGCCACAAATCTTTTCAAGAGATCTGAAAACAGTTTTGTTGGAACAGACCAAGTGTCTCCTAAAATGAAGTACTGATGCAGCATGTACCTGAGAAACTGAAAGGCTGCATAGGAATCTTCCATGAGTTGAACCCTGAAATTCAAAGAATTCACTAGTCTTGACATCATTTTGGACTTGCTTACTGGAGGTTCCTTTGCTGTGTGTGTTCCTGATTGCTTTTCTTTTATTTCCCCCCTCCCTCCCTTTTCCAATCAAACAAATATAATTGTATGTAGATAGATTCCCAGACTTGTTGCTGGATGGAGGAGAAAACATTTAGCTGTTTCATTTATTAGCAGGACATAAAGAACACTTACAAAGGCTTCATCTTGTGGCTGCGTGATTCCAGTTAGACACATGCCACTTCGCTGTTTGTAAATTTTCATACTGTGATGTTTCTGTGTCTATTTGATTGTAAGATTTTAGTGCAGTAGACTTCATTTAATAGGAAATTCAATTGCGTGACTGAGCAGTAAGTTCTTTTTGTGCAAGTGCTGTGCATCAGTACTGAAACTTTAAATCTGTAAATCTGTATTTCTAGCCTATAAGCTAAATTATTATGTATTAGCATAAAATCATACTCTTTGTGGTGCAACTTGAATTTATATCTCTGGCTTGTGGAGTTAAGTGCATCCCGAGGGCCACATTCCTTAGGCCGACAGTGATGAATCTCCCGCTCCCATCTACGTTTCGCTCTGCTTAAGCACTTCTGTTGATGTCTCTGCATCTGTCTTCTTTGAGACAAGAGCTGGAGGTCCCTTGGAGCGCTCGCCTAGGAACTCGATTATTTCTTAGTGGTTTAACATTTGGGAGAGAGGGGAGCAACACACCTTGTGTTCGAACAGTGTGTGAGACTCTTCTTGTTCGCTGTTTTCAGCTTCAGGTGCTGGTGTGTTCTTGCTTTTCAATTCTGAGTATTCAATTCTGTTGCAAAGCAACAATATTGTGAGTTTGCTTAGAAGCGCCAGGCGAATGCTGTCCCGGCTGGGATGCTGTGATGCTATCTTGGGCTTCTTAGAAAATATTTATTTAGAGTCGGGGTGAGGGGCGTATATTGAAGCGCTGACATAGTGTGCAGACTTGTCGAGTGTCTTTCGTGTGTGTTTGGGTGTTTTTTAATACTTCAACTGTATGGTTGTAACTAAACTTGCAATGTGTTGGTTTTGTTTAAAAAAAATGGAATTCAGTGCAACTATTCTTTGCATATTGCTGTTTTTCAGGTGTATATTTGCCAGGTGGGGCTTGGAGCACTTAATGAGAGATCATAACCGGTAGAATCAAAGGAAAACTGATTTCACTTCTTCCAGCTCCTGCCCCTACTCAGGAATGGGGGTTTCTAACATAGCATGCAGCTGTGAAGAGTACTGGGGAAATAGAAATCTTCTTAACTTAAGCATCTAAAGCAGTATATCACACTCTTGAATAAATAAAACTTTTCTCCTCTGTTTTCTCCTCTTGAAATATTATTTTCTGTTTTTTTAAGACTTGATTTTTGATTTACTTATAAAAGTTTTAGCGTTAATTCTCTTACTGCTCCACTGCTTTTAACATCTTTAACATCCTTTTTAAATTAGTGGAGAAAATAGTTTCTCTAAGGTTCCCTTGTTATCAGAATGAATATATTTAACATCTTAGTCTTTGCTTCAGTAGTAGTAAAATTAAATCCCCATGCTGCTTTGTGAGGAAACGCAGTGTCAGACTGGCAAAAAGATGGTGTTGACTTAAGTGTGTTAAAGGCGCTCGGTATCTGTTCAAGTAAGAGATTTCTGAGGAGGAATGCAATGCAACATAAACGCTTTTAGTTGCTGCAGATCTTGGATTTGCTGTTGTTATGTTAGACTCCTGTGATCTCTGTTTTGTTATCTACTGTAACTCTGCAATAGTTCCTGGGATGTCTTTGGTAAGGGTATAATAAATAAAAGGTTCTGCTTTCTGTTAGAAGTTACTAATATAAAGAGGCTCTACAGGACTCTCTCTGCAAACTACCTTATTGATCTCAAGATCTTTTATTAACTTCAGCACTGCTAATTGCAGTTTGGTGACTGTTGCAAACCTTGTCCATCCTCAGCTGCAGAATGCAGCTCTGGGGGCCTTTTCTTTAGCTAGGCTGAGGCATGAAGTTTGCCTACAAGTTTGAGCCTAGCTTGCACATTTTTCTGCCTTTGTGGAGGATTGCTGAGGCTTCCCTAAGACTTAGGACACAGGGCTTGTTTATTTTAATGCTTATTTTCTCACCCATCCACCCTTGACATAAGTAGCTTTGCTCCCAAAGTTTTAAAAGTCCTCTTGCAAACCAGAGTAAAAATAATAGAACTTAATCTTGTATTTTAAGATTGAATTTTGAGTTCAACCTCTGATCAGTGGTTGTTTTTGTGAGAGTTTATGTGTGACTTGTGTTAATGCTGATTGGATTATGGGGACTGCCCTTAGTGTTAGCAATTGCTGCTGCGTTGGTACTGCTTACCCTGATGCACGTCTGTTCATTCATCATTCAAAGGTATTTGAAACAATTCTGTTAATTTTATGTTGCTTTAAATAACTTCTTATGCCGTTTTTATTATTGAAATAGGGTAAGGGAATTTACCCCTATATTGCTAGGTTTTCATGTTCTCTTTCCTTCCCGATACCCCTTGACTTCATTCACAGGTTCCCTTGGGGATTGGTAAGGTAGTGGATAGGCTGAAGCCATTTCGAACTCTAATTACAGCTTTCTGATTAGTCTCACAGTTTGAGTGTGTCTTTAATGAACCCTCTGTGTTTGTGTGACTCACGGATGAGAGTCCTGGATTGCCCAAGAAGGGGAGAAGGGTTATGTAATGGGTATGTTTGCAGGCGTGCTCCTTTCCTCAAAGAGATGTGATCTAAAATGCTTCCTGCTGCCAAGAACAAGTAGTAGAGTTGATCTAAAGCCGTTTGTAAACACTGTGTAACCCCTTCCTACATAGCCAGGCAGAGAGAACAGTGCAGTTAAAGGTAAATTGGAATTGAGTTTGCAAGGGTCATCCTTGTGCCCTGGCTCTTTGCTGCTGCTGAAAGGGCTTTCCTTTTCCCCTTGCTTTTCCTAGCAAAGACATTAGAGAGGCTTGAAACGCCAGTCAGCTGGCTTGAGGTTTGAATGTTTATGTAACAGATCTAGGTAATTTCTGACTTATTTGATCCTTTGTGATGTTTTAGCTTGCCTGTAAATGAAGAAGCTGTTGGGACTCCTGGATAGAACTGCTGGTCCCTCTAGGGCTGTGGGGTTGGAGTTGTAGGTGCTGACATAGTTTCTGCTTAGGCTTCAGGCATTTGAGATGCAAGAGATTCACTCCTTGGTGCAGCTGCTTTGTAGTTGCTCCCACACCGCTGTCGTAGGCAAGCTATTTGGAGCATACTCTTGATGGTATTGTGTGATGCAAATGTCCCTGACCCTATGTAATGTGCATCCCAGGACAGTCTGTATCCTGGCTATCTGCCTTGCCTGCTTCTTTGGAGAGTGGTTCAAATGGGCAGCCTCTTTCTTGGTGATTCGTAGCTGCGCCTGTGCTTATGACATGTCTCTTTTTTGATTATTCCGACTTTCTTTTTCCTCTCTGCTGGCTGCTGATAGTGTTCGTTGTTTGACAGCACCAAGCAAGCAAACATCAGCTGCTCTTTACTCTTCTCACCTGCCCCTACCACTGTGGTTGTGGGTGCTGCAAGTAACTGGCTCTTCTGGTTCTTGCGTGTTTGATTTCTTTCACTTCTCCAGCATTTTATGAGGGACGATTTGCAGAGGTTAATTACTGTGGCGTGGTTTGCATAGAAGCTTAGCAATGCGTTTACCTTTTCAAAGTAGAAACACTTAAACAAATGTCTGAAAACACTACAAAAACTTTGTGGTTTTGATCGTGGCAACCTGAAATTTTTCATTCATTGAGAGGACTAATGATACTTGTTTGCAATTAGATTTGTTTGTGACTGCCACCAAAATCCTTATGTCGTGCATTTCTACTCTGCGTGTGTTTACTGACGCCGAGAGCACTAGTAATTCTACATTAAATTCACATTAGTCATTTTTGCTTTCAAGTTGTGTTCTAAGTACACTGTATGCGGGGCTTATATTTTCCAGACTACATTTGCAAAGAAAATGAAGAACCAAAAGCAACATATTTCAAATGCTGAGAACGAGGAGCACGAAGACACAGAAGGTAATGTCCATGTGTGTAAATATCAACGTGCATCCTCCAGGTCCAAGCTGTGAAAGTCAGATTTGACATGTATTCTGTCCTAATTGGTATTCTGCTGGCTCTGAAAACAGATACATAAGCACAGATTATCCCAGCAAAGTGTATTTTTATCTGATGAGGTTCCCAAATGCTTTCCCATAGCTTCAATTTTTGCTTAATTTCTAATATCAAAAATGAAATGGAGGTAACTGTTACTCAGAAAAATAATGAATTTCAAGTAAAATTCCATGAAGAATTCCTTGAATTTTAACTAAAGTCAGAGGATTTCTAATGTACGTGATTAGATAAATATTTGAGGATGTTCAGATGAAAGTAATTGTGAAAACTGAAAGTTGGAGTGTGAGTGTGTGTAGGCTGTTTATGAGGTATGCTGACGGAGAGAAAGTGTGAACTTCTGAGGAACTCTTGGGAAAGGGATGACTAAATGACTTAGCAATAAATAGGAAATCAGTGATGCTTTCCTTGTTTAAATAACTGGAGAGAGAAGTTTCATTTATTTTAATGAAAATACTGATATGATCATTCTACTCTCTGAAATACCTTGTGCAAATATATTTTTTTCTATTCCTTTTACCTGCTTCTCTGGCCATCACCTTGACTGCATTATACCTGAATACCTGTTAATTTGCTTTTTAACTGCACAATTTTACCTCTGATTGTTATTCAAATCTACAATGACACTGTTTCAAAGCCAGCTGAAAGTGTCAGTGTTAATACTAGGTGAAGAAAATGAAGAGTGCCGTTCCTGTTCCACTGCTTTCATATCCCGGGAAGGTGACAAGTGCCCCATCTGTCTGAACTGCCTCCTGGAACAAGAAATCGGTGTTCCTGACAACTGCAGCCATGCCTTCTGCGTGGCTTGTATTCTTAAATGGGCTGAGGTGAGTCTGGGAATCAACGTGGTGGTGTTTGATCTGCTATATCTAATAACCTGTTTCTTTAAAATCCATAGCTGTGTGTTCTTGCTTTATGTGGTATGTTCTTGCTTATACATAAATGTTTCAATGACCAGTTTATAAGCAGATCTTAAGCTGTGTTCTGAGTGGTGTAATGAAATAATCTGTGTTGTCTTTCACTAGAAATATTGCACCATTAATAGCGATTAGAGACTGGCCTCCCAAAATGGTGATAATGGTGATTGTTCAGAAACTCAGCTGGTATAACAGTATAATCAGGTCGTGTAATGTATACTTTGTAATAGTGCAGTGGCATGCTTTATATAAGCATGGCTTAGTCTTTATACATTATCTTTTTTGTATTTTTTTTTTGTATTTGTTTTCAATATGTTTTCTCACTCACCTACAATATAAACTGAGGTTTCAGTAGATTTTTTTTTTTCTCTCTGAAGAGTTCAATTAAAAGGTTTTGTGCCGTTCTGAATCAAAATCTTTAATTTTGATTATAGAGATTGACAAATAGGCACTTGGTAATAAATGAAGTCTCCTATTACCACATTCTATTCTGCAGATGATTCGTTGCTTTGCTTTCATTTGGTAGTCAACAGGAAAATGGCATCCTCAGTTTTCCTCCAATGTTCCTGGCCGGCTGCTCTCACAACAGGTGGAAAGCAGTGACCAGTAAAAACATCCAGAAAAGCAGTGCAGTAGGTTGAGGGTTTGCTGCTGAACTTCAGCTTGTTCACACTGCCTGATAAATGCTTTTAATTCCAGTGAGGAAAGGAAGATCCTGTCTTTAACGGGCAAATTTATTTTCTGGCTTGAGGTACTATGCAAATGGAATAGAAAGCAGCTTTGGTTCCTGAGCTACAAGTGAAGTAGATGGGATGAGCATTAGTGATATCTGACAGAAGAGGAAGGACACTGGGTTCAGTGAGGGAGCTGACAGCTGGGTCTGTTCAGTTCATGAAATATCATTCTCTAATCTGGTAGCTTGATTGAACTAAAATAAGTGTTTTAAACTGGTTTGACAGATGTTGAAAGACTTCAGCTGTGGGAAGAAGATGAGACTTTAGAACTTGGATTGATAGAAAGGCATCAAGAGCCACTGGAGATGTGCTAATGCTGTGTGCTTTTGTATCCACTATTAATGTTTAGTAACACTTGTTTGGAAGAGCTGCATAGTGTTAGCTCTCTCTGGCAGTTCTTGTTTGATCATTAAATAAGTCATTGATTGCTTAGTTGTCAGTTAAGTTGTTCTGAATAATGAAGACTGAAATTATCTGCCCTTCTAAAATACATTATCAGTTTCTGTTTAAAAAACAAAACAAAGCCCTAAATGTTTTCTTCTTGGATACATTTTAAAATGTTATTTTTTTTTCTTTTTTTTCTCCTAATTTTAAGATAATAAGAAAGCTGGGAATAGGATTCATAAGCAAAATAATGGTCTTAAAAAGTGATAAGTTTGCTTCAGGTACTCTGTGTGGTTTACTCTTCCCTGTCACTGAACTCTATCCACTTGAAAGACTTTGCCAAAAAAAAAAAAAAACAAGGCAACCACTGTTGTTTTCAAATTGTACATGAAGATTTTGGTCAATTATTTTGGTTTTTATGCAAAACTGCATGCATTTTGATCAATTCCAAGGTAGTTTAGGCAAACAGTGAGAGCGAGTTTGCGGTTCTGCTCCCCTTTCTGCTTATGAGAGACCTCCAGACATGCCCTTACCTGGGGCTAGGTGTTCTGTGTGGGCAGGTTTTCTTTCGGCAAGAAACAGCCACAGCACTCTGGCTTTCTAAGGAGATATGCGTTGCTTTTAAGTGAATATCTGCTCTTTGATTCCATGCAGAGCTAAACATGTATAAAATGATTGTTAAAGTTGACCTGATGCACTTAAGTCCTGGTGACTAAATCTGAACATTTGGTTTGGTAAGTTGGTAGCAGTACTTCAAGCTTCTGGTGTATTTGGAGTGCTCTGTTTCCTTGCCTGATGAGGAGAGGTGTCTAGCTCCTAAACGTGAGGTAGAGACTAAACTAGCTTGCAAATTTACTTTCCTTTTTTTTTTTTTCCTTTAAATATGTTTAAATTATTCAGTCTTTGGCCATGTTCAGCATAGTTAACTGCAGTGCCCAGTATTGGCAGTATTGCTGGTAGGTTGTCGTGCACTTCAGACCATCATCTTGCCCGTCTCTGGCTCTGCTTCCCAGGGCTCTCCCAGGAATTACAGGCTGGTGCCGGTCGGATGGAACATTCCCAGGGCCGTTTCCAGTAGGCAGGCAAAGACTAGAGTAAATGGCATTTGCCCTCTGCAGCTTTGATAAGCTGACTTAACTGTTTAACTTATTAATGTAGAACTTAAAGCTGTGTTAGCAGTTCATAAAGAATACAAGGCCCTTGATGCCTAGGTCTGTAGCTGAGGCTGTTGGACACGTTCAGCGGGAAGGACAGTAGGAGCAAAGGGCTCTTTTGCGGCAAAGGACATCTGCATGGTACATCTGCATTATTTTGCCCACATCTCAAAGTGATCTAGAGCCTTCAGGCACTATCAGTGTATTGTTGCGGTGAGGGAAGTAGTTAAAATTAAACTGTTTTGTGTTTCAAGTTGCAAAGCACATGTATTAATTCCTAATAAGCAGGACTGCAAACACTTAAGTAAGGCTAATGTGAGGGGATGTTATTTATGTATCTATGGCAAGCAGATATCAAATTAGCTAATGTCTCCTTGTCTGGTGCACTAGAGGAAAACTTCTTTTTTTTTTAATATCCTGCTCAAAGACATCAGCCCTAAAGCAGAGTGCAGGTTAAATAACTCACCTGAAGGGTCTGTAACCCCCAGGCAGGCCTAATGCCCTGTCAGTGACTGACTGAAAGGCAGTTGGCCCAAAGAGCTTCCCTGCATTATGTATCTGCTGGGGCCTCTGGCTCATGTAGAAGAGTCGTTCGGGTGTCGAAGGTTTGGATCCTTGCTCCTGTAGAATATGCTGCATGAGAATGCTGTCCTGTGGGTAAAGAGGGAGCTGCCTGCCTGGCGATGGCAGTGCTGGGTGTGTGTATTAACCTTTCTGATCTGGCCCCCTTTGTCCTCGAGGACACGTGAAAGCAGCAGCTTTCCAAGAACCACAAGTTCTTGGTTTGCGGTGCAAAGCAGTGGGCATAGCTGGGGTTGCACTGGTGGACTGATGCACTGGGCTGCCAAAGGAACCCTAAGCCTAAAATTAAAAGCACAAAGATCTCTAGCTTGTGTCTCCAAGGCATAGATGATACATCTCAGCTGTTGCCCAGAAAATTATTTAATCATATTATTTTAGAGAGTCTAGACTTGTTATACTTTTTCAATTACACATTCGCTTTTTGGTGTGCGGTTGCTCTTGATGTAGTTATCAAGAAAAACACCCTCACACAGCAGGTTATGAATTTTAACATTGAGAGAGAGCAACGTGAAACTCAGTGTTTGAGTGTTCCTGAGCTTGGGTTCCCTTTTCTGATAACACAGTGTCTAACAGCTCTAATTGCCACGGAGCGTGCAGCTCATTACAAAGGATGAGCCATTGCATCCTTTCTGAGCGAGAGAGCCACCAGGGCAATAGCGCTTGTCAGCGTTTCATGGGATGTAGAAGCAACATGTGGCATTTTTAGCTATGAAGACTATAGTCAGCCTGAATGATGTGGGTAGAGAGAAAACAGATGTTTAAAATTGCAAGTAATGAGGGTTGGTTGGGTAGTGAGCCTAAGATCTCCATTCTAATGTGCACTGGTTTATTAACCATCAGAGATAGATCTAGAAAAATAATGTAGAATCTCTTGCTGGAAATGGTGGTCTTCTAAAGTTCAACTGCAAAAATGTCAAGTGTACTTGACATTTGGGATTCTACTTTTTTTTTTCTAGAAATAGGGGACTGATGTGCTTTCTGGTGTCTCCCTTTTCACTGAAGGTGGAGGCAGGACTGTTGGGGACGCTTTTTTGTGCCCTCCTTTTGACTGGGTGAAATGAAAGATTTGGGTGCAACTTCAGCAGTCTAAACCCTGTTAAGGCTGAATTTAATTATGAAAACTAGGTAATGTTTTGGTATTGTTCAACATATCCTGTAATAAAAGATTGTCAGAATATACAGACTATGTTTCTTTTTTAGGACCTCATTTAATGAAGAGTTGAAAAATAGTCTTTTAGTTATGAGCCATTGTGGGCAGGAAGGGTAATAGAAGTGGTTTACTGCAGAAATACTTGTTCAAAGAGCTCATCTTTCTGCTAAGGGCCTAAAGCCTCATAATACAGAACTTGATGAGACGGGGCTGCTAGACAAGTTACTCCGTCAACCAAAACCACTTTGAGGTTACCTGTCTGAGGAGCTTTCCTAGAAAGCCCCAACTTGAGCAGGTCATTTTAAATGCTGCTGGGAGTGATGCAGTTAGGATAGAGGACACTTCCTCTTTGAGATTATTAAGATTACTGTTTTGTAATCTTGTAATAGTATCTTTTGAACTAGTAATCTTGAGGCTATCCAGTTATAAGGCTATTGAACATTGGTTTGCCTATGGAGATGAAGCCACATCAAAATACTTTGAGGTGTCTTGTCAGAGAAGGTGCACAGAAAAACCCCACACGTGCTCATGAACAGCATTTCTGGGGCTGCAGGCTCCATGAAAACTTCCATGCTTTATGAAGAAAAATGTCAGGATGTCACAGGTGAAGTGCAAGAATGAATCCCTTCAGAGTTACCAGTTTTTGCAGGGAAATACTGAGCAGCTTCATGTAGACAGTGAAACACCCAAAGGTGACTTTTCTAAGAACAGCCCTGTTAGGAAGCAAAAAAACCCTAAATCTCAAGAACAGCAGCCAGACTCTTCTCATTTTAATTGTTACATTAAATACTGTCTTGTAATACTCTTCTGATTTACTTCTGCTTTTTAGACCCCTATATATATTTTTTAACAAAAATTACAACTGCATACAGTAGTAGTCATTTAAGACTGCAGTTTTTTGTTTTGTTTTTAAATCCCTTCCTTTTTATGCGCAATAAAAGTGGTAGCTTCTACTTGGACTCCTTTCATCTCAGTATCTTTAACTTGTTTAACTTTTGTTCCTCTTCCAAAAGGGCAGTTTATGTTCTCTCTCCTCTAGGATGCCTCCCGTATAGAAGCCTAATCAAAGGGGAAAAGCTAAGTGGCCTTAAATGAGACCATTTGGTTCCTGAATCATCTTCACAAAGACAAGAGAGGAGCAAAAGGCTCCTGGTGACTGCTGTTTGCCCAAACAAACAAAGGAAAGTCAGATGTTTTTGTTTTAACCCTTTTTTTCCCCGTAGCAGCCCACAGAAGGGCAAGAAAATATGGGATTTTTCCCTTTTTTTTTACCCTTTGATTTTTCACTTTAAAGGCCATATATTAGCTGGCAGGTGAAAGCTGATGTATCCTTAGACAAATACACAGCACAGGAGCCTCTGTCTTCTCCCTCAAGTGCCCCTGGCAGTTGTAACACTTTAAGCTGTCACATCTTTACTAGAACATCCCACAAGATTTGCAGTAAAATATCAGATACAGTTAGGGCTATAAAGAGCAACTGAGTTGGAGTGGAGAACAGCATCTGCTGTTTCTAAAAACGTCTGAACCCACCCATAGCTTTTGATTCTTCCAGTATGTTTTTCTCTTTTTTGATTACTGGGTATAAATGTATGGAATTCTTAAACATCTGTCCAGTTCCACAGAAAACTGAGTGAGTGGTTTCCTAGTGGAGAAAAAATACTTTGACTTACTGCTAATGTATTTAGTATTTCATGTTTACACTTCATGGCAATGAATAAACTACTCACTGTGACTTAAACTTGGGAACATGACTTAATCTTCTTGTGTACACTTAAAATATAGAAACAGACTGTCTTCCCAAAACAGCTTGTTCTGAAACACGCTGAGTTGTGAGATGAGTTGTGCCTCTTTCAGCCTGTCTGGTATATCTGAGAAAGTACTTTACTGTGAGAAGCTTGCAGCTGGTTCAATAGTTGCACTGCGTTAAGTCAGGTATCTCAGTTGGGCAGCGCTGCTGCATAACTCCAGTCTAACTGTATGTTGGGTACGGGACAAATAATCCGAGTCTTTATAATCCAAACCCTTAGGGTGCTGGGTTAGTTGCCTGGACTGCTGCTCTTCACGGAGACCACCATGTTGCAGGGGACAGGGGGGTTCTCCAGTGCAAAGGGGGTTGGAGGTAAGGAGAAAATCCCTCTCCTTGGGAAGCTCTGTGAGGTAAGGGCCTGAATCCCACCTTTGCTCAACAGCTTGTTCATGGAGTGAGCCCTCTTCTTTTAATAAATAAAAAAGATCCAACTCTGGTCTGGCTGCTTTATTTCAAATTATAACCTGAGTGTTCAGGGATAAGGGGCTGTAAAGGCGAATGAGAAGTGGGGTGCTCTTTGCCATTGGTGATAAGGAAGAAATGATCAACTAGAAAATTAAAAGGTCTGATTAATGAACAAGAAAAAATAATTTAACCTTATGACAGTTTATATGCAAGTTTCTCATAGCTGCTCATGCCAGTCTGTTTATAAGAGCATCGCATGTTACTTGCATAAATAAAAGATAGCATATTTCCCTTCCTCTTAAGGGCAGCATTTACGCTATTGAAATACTGATTTTGTTTAGTGCAGTGGAGAAGGGACTAGTAGAGGTCAAATTTTTCCCCTACTTCCGTCTCTGCCTGTTCCAAACAGGGCCTGTGAAGAACCCTGAAGTGAGGAAGGAGGGAGAGCATCCATGTGAAACAAAAATAAGTAGTTCTCTAGCATCAAACTACAGTGCTGATTTCCTGTGTATTTCTCCCTGAGTTAGAGCGTTGCCTGGTTGGGTGGAGCTTTGCTTGAAGCTTCCCCACTGTGGGGACCGTGCAACATGTCACTGTTTGATGTCTGGGTCCTCCCATAGCGCAGCCTTTCCCTCCACGGGTGGGCGTTTAGGTCTCTAGGGAAAAGACAGTAAATCTGCGTTTCCATTGGACTTTGGACACATAATAACACTGAAGACCTCTGTCAGCTTTGGTTAGAAATGGTCAGTAAATTCAAAAGTTGTTGGGGGAAGAAGAAAAGGAATGAAAATGACACCCAGATGTGGGGAGTGGGTGTGGACAGTTTCTTTTAAGGAATGTAAGGGGTGAGAGGAGAAAAAGAAGAATGGAGGGAAAAAGAAAAAAGAAAAACACACTGGATGAATTCTGATTAACAAATGTTTGGATGCATAGGAAAGGGGAACTGTCTTTGAATGCAGTTTCTCCAATGTAACAGTTCAAAGGTAAAAGGAGTATTTGAGCTTGGAATACCTGGAGCACACTTCAAAATGAGAAGGACTCATTAGTCTCAGTGGAAAAAGTACTAATTGTTTTTGGTTTTGGTTTTTTTTAGCTTGTATTTTAGCAAAGTTGTTCTTTTGTCTTTGGCTCCTTAGTAAAATATCTTTTTCTGGTATTTTCTGTTTCTTCCTGAAGAAGGCAGAGCCTGGAGCGTGTTTGATACACCGAGTAGGAAGTGGAATGGCACAACTCCAGCTGCTCCAGGTTACTGCTAGGAGCAAAATAGCCGCCTTCAGGGCTGTTCTGTTGAAAAGTGCTTTACAAAATGTCGTTTGTGTCAAGCACGGGAGCCTGTTCTCTCTACAGGCTGCCAAAAGGAGCTGGAATGAAGTAGACAGTCAAGCAGGGTTGCACAGTCACCCACCCACCAACCTTGTGGCTTTTAGCTTTCCTTGCAGGGATGTGGTTCCTTTGTGTTCCTTTCCCTCCTTTCAGGTGACCTTTCTGCACCAACACTTTTCCCTTGTTAATATTAGAACTTTACTTTCAGTCTTTTTTGAAGTTACATCTATAGGAGAAGATGTTAAGCACCAAAATACTGTTTGTCAAAGTCGTTCAGCTGCAGTGCCAGAATAGCTGCTGAGAAAGCACTAGATGTGAGCAGGGGATTGGGATTCTCAAGGCATGTTTGAAACTGTGCTGATGCTTCTGGGTCAATATTAGAAGAGCCCCAGTGTTGTGGAAGTCAAAGACTAAATAGGGAAAGATTTCAGTAGAGAAACAAGTGAAAAGCGTAGAATAGCGGTTGAGAAGGACCAAGCAGCTTGAAAAGTTGTCATAGATATTGGTGCAGTAGCCCTTTATAGAGATTCATTTGCTTTCAGTTAGAAAATGCTGAATTAAGAAGTTCAGTAGCTGGGAAGTTGAGGGGTGAGTTAGCAAGTTCCACCACAGTTTGTGTTACGGAGTGGAAACCGAGGAGCGAGCGAAGCTATTCTGTACCCAGTGACTGTGTTTTGTTCTTTTGTTGTCGTGTGCTAATATTTGGCTTTCCAGCATTATGAAAGAAAAGAGGGGTTTGTGTAGTGGTGCGAAACTAGAGTTACCTAACAGGGTTTTAAAAAATAAAAGGAGAAAAAAACCTCATGGCTAACTTCATGTGAATGTTTTTTACTCTTTTGAATGTAACTTCCGAGTTACGTTATTGTTTCTTTTGGACTTTCCAGTAAGAAAAAAAATGTTTACAAAACAACTTACCAAATTGCATGGCCCATAAATGCAAATAGATTCCTAATGTCAGGAAGTTGAAATTTTGCATATTTCCATCAAAGTGCTGTAACCGTGATGAGAAGTACAGAATGTGGTTTTTTGTGTTTTTTTTTTTCTTTTTAGCAATCCTATAACAGGAAAAAATCTTTTTCAGACAAAGGCCTCATGTCCTATTGATCGCAGACCATTTCAAGCCATATGCAAGCTCGATGCATTAGAGAATCAAATAAAGGTGAGTCCCAGCCTTTGTTTTTTAAATGACTGACATTGTAGGAGCACATAGACCTCTTAGTCATATGTAACTGAGATTTGTTAATTTATTAATTACAGCTTTAACATTTCTGTAAAATATTTGATGCTTACAATTCTGTTAACTCTTCCAAAACAAATGTTTACAGTCATAAAGCATAAAAAAGTAGCAGCTTCGTAATCATCATCGTTGAATGTTTTTTATGTGCCTAAGAAGAAAAGTAGAGTATCATTTTCAAAGGTTTTTGTTTTTCTTTAGTTAAGTTTTGTAAATGTTATATAAACCAGCAGGCAATAATGCCCTCTTTAGCAGAGCTGAGTCTTACCACTGCTTCTAACACACTGGCAAGAACAAATTCGTGGAAGCAAGAGCCTTGCTCAGTCTACACTTCTGAATCTTTTGGCCATAAAATAAAGCAAGATATTGCTGCTACAGAGAACGGTTTACCAATTAAGAAAATAGAAATTAATTGTGACAGATGTTGATTACTGAACTTGAAGGCGTATGCAAGAAGATTCTGGTTCTTTTCTGTACAGTTTTGAAGTTCTGAGGTCTCAGTGCATTCACAAAAGTGGCTGCCTCTCCTCTGTGGTGTGTGTGTATGTGTGTGCACGTGGAACAGGGAAGCAACTGAAACAGGACAAATCAAAGACTTCAGTGGGGCTATTTTATAGGCTCTAGCAACTCTACTTTTAGTGCACTGTGTTCTTGTTCGAAGTGTATACAGTATATCTATCAGCATATCAGTATATATCAGCTTTTTCTTGCATTTTATGAAAAATAGGTCAAAATATCTTCAAATCTGTAAACTGTGAAATTAAAGAAGCTATGATTTGAGGAGGTTTTGAGTCCTTTTGAGCTCATTTTCCTGGTAGAGATCTTGAAAGTATTTGAAGATGGTGTTTGCTGAATTTCTGGATTGAAAACTGACTTTTCTTTCTCTATGCAGGTTCAGGTAAAGAAGCAATTATGGGAGATAGAAGAGGAAATCTGTGCCTGCAATAAGGGAAAAAGTAGCCATACAAACATGAGATTTATAAGGTTGGTATTGCTCTTAAAGGATTCTAATTGGAATTCCCAAAATAATAATTCAAGTGTTACTGAATGTTCAGGTTGGAAATTATTTCTCTTTTTTAAAAATTTTATTTTTAGTATATTCTTTCCTCTGTCATGGTAATATAGCTTTTTCATTTATTGTTAATGTAGTTCCTACTGAAGTTAATAATAAACAGGGTGTAAGGAACAATGTATTGATTGCATTTAGGTATACAGTGGTGGTTTTCAAAACAAATCTGACAAATTTCTTGTTAATTTGAGTTAAGATTATTTATCTAGGTCACATTTTGACAGAAGTTTGCAGATTATTGTACACATTGATATTGCTCATCTTTTTACAATAAGGTGGAGTTATAGTCAAGAACTGATTGCATTTTGATAGTTTTAGGTAACTGTGGAAATACTTCTTCAGTGTAGAGGGTATTTTGTCACAGTTGCTGTAAAGAAGAGCTTACACTGATCTCTTGTTAGAATCCTTCGTATAATTTCAGAGCACTAATAAGCAAAAGACAAAAAATACCACTTCTAGTGGCATACTGTTTCACTGAAACTCCTTTTTTTCTTCTGTGTCCAAAGTCTTTTTTTTATTAGAATTATTTCTCTCTAGTTAAATTTTGGATGAAATAAAATTTTGAAATGCTTATCTGAGAGCCCTTGCATATGGCAGAAATTTAGGAATACACAGATAAAATTCTCTGAATGTTCATAATTGAAACTCTTTGTTCAGGAGAATATGTGGTGCATAGAATTCTTGAGGTATGATTTTAAGCAGATTTCATTATATATTATTTAGAAGAAAAGCAAGATACTAACGTGAGAGGCCTTTGCACCTCTCTGAAGTACCACTGGCTGGTACTTTTTTTTAAAATATTTGTACATATGAGCTGTGACATCTTTTATATGTTGCAGTGGAATCGAGCAGAATAAAAACATTGATTTAATACTGATGTCTTGAAAGCAGATGAGATTTTTTTTCCATTTTTAAGCTTTTTGAAGTATTATGATATTTAATGTACCAATTATGTTATATAGCATGCAAGTTCAGAGTTTCAATAGCAGTCAATAGCCATGAATTCTATGGGTATTAGATAAAAGTTCCCTGAAATAGGAACTGGTTTGAGCTCAGTGGATATGCTCTTAGCTTAGGTTTGTCCCAAGATATTACTGCTCCTAATATCTTCTGCTAATTTTGCAGAGGAGCTATAGCTCCAGAGAAGGGGCCTTTACCAGCAAAATTAAACAGAGTTGTGAAGAAAAAACACAGTAAGTTTTTTTTTTTTTAACTGCTTGTATATAATTGTTAGAATCACAGTTTTTATTTTGGAATTTCATTGCTTTCCTTGATGAATCAAATATAAGGTTTTTTTTTTTTTAACTGCTTACATTTGCATGTCAAAATCAAATACCAAGGAGTAAGAGAAGAGTTTGGAACTTATAAAAACAAACTTGCAATATTTGGAACTACATTAGGGTTTTTTTGCTGGAAAAATTGCTTCCTTAATTGCAGTCAGAAATGAAATGTATTAGTTTTGGCCTAGAGATCACTGCATTAACAGGTACTGCTTTTCAAGTAATTTCATAACCTACGAAATTAAGCAAACATCTGAAAAGGTGAAAATTGCTTGACATGGAAATGGCTGTTATGAAATTGCAAGCATTTTTATTTTGTTCATCTAAAACATTTCATAGAAATACCGTATATTTTTCTACAGTTTATATAGTCTCTCTATTGATGTGTTTTCTCCAGCCAAAATAGTGTTTTGTATTTTTGTCATATTGATGGAATTCTAATCTATAAGTTATATTTCACAAACCTCGAGGAGTAAAGGAGTATGAAACTACTTTTTTTTTAATGACTCTTCCAGATCTCATCGTCTTTAGTCTGGTTGAATACAGATAAAAGTGAAGTTATTTAATATTATTTGTATGAGAAGAAAATTTGAAGTCAGTTTGGAATGTTAATCTTGTGGTTTGGGGTTTTTTTTTTATGTTTTCAAAAGCATTCTTGTTATCTGATAATAAAATTACCACACTCAAGTCCTGCCTTTTTTAATGCCTAAAAGAATGAACTCAGCATCTAATCTAATCTGCATATTACAGGTCATTAAATTTAACCCAGATGTGCCCCTAATTGCAATATCTTGCATTTGACTGAAGTGTTCCTTCCCAAGAAGCAGCCAGGTTTAATTTCCAGTTCTAGTGTGAAGAGATAATGCGTTGGTAGATGCACTAGGGTGAATTACTCTTCCTGTGAGAAAATACCTCTTTTTCTTTTTTTCCTTTTTTTCTTGTAAATGATTAACATGAATTTGGCAGGCATCAGCCTCCAGCTATTGATCCTGGTTATACCTTTGTCTGCCAGAATAGAGGACCCTTTAGTACCCTGTCTTTTCTGCCCAAAGCAGATGTGTATCTGGTTTAATGAAGTCAAATCTCAGCTTTCCTTTTTGGAAGCTGAAGGGACGAACTCTTTAACTTTTTCACAGCAACTTGAAAGACTTGGTTTTTTCTTTCAGACACTCATGTGCAATTTCCTCCTAAGAGATACAGCAACAGAAACAAGTAGTTCCTTGTTAACAGTCCACTCAGTTAAAAACAAAACCAAAAAAAAGGCTGCTGTTCTGTAATGGTTTATTGGAATAGTTAAAGAACAATTGTAATAACTTGTTCTGTGAAGGTTTATAAGTATTGGAATGTAAACTAAATTTATATGCAGACTCACTGTAAATACACTTCAGATACACTTTCATTAGCATCTAATTGCATTAAGGATTTTAATGAATAATTAAAAACTAATATATTACGATCAAAGTGTATTGCTGCTTATTTCACGCAGGTAAAGGTTTGTGTGATATACGAAACAAGAAAGCTTTGTCTGTGAAGATAAACAAGGTTGGTTCTGATAATGAAGCGCTTAAAACCTTTCTACTTATTCTTAATTTAACTTTTGTATTTGTTATTGTAGTATGATCCAGAAGTAATTTTTATCTTTTCTTTTGTGTCTGTGTGTGTCTTGAAAGAAGTAATTAGAATGTAGTGCTGGGTTATATCAGTCTCTCTCACGGATTTAGTTACTTTTCTGATAATAAATATTTTCACTTAGATTGCTGTTCTGCATTATAAGATACTAACTACCCTCCTCTCACTTCTATTCACCAGTTGTTTTTAGTGTTACAGAAATATTCCGCGATGTAATCAACAATTTATCTTTGTATCAGATTACTTCAGTAAACTTTATTGTTTGCACCAGGCTCCATGGGAGATTACTTTTAAGATATTTTATTTTCCAGAATTCCTCTTGAGTTAAGAAATTTTACCCTATACTAGGTTTTGAGTGGAATTTTTGGGAAGTTGTAAAGGCCGTTCGAATTCTCCCTTTCAGAAGTATTTAAGATCTCTGGGATACCAGACTGAATGATGTTTTGTATTAATAATTATACTTGTAAGCATGTTTGTATGAAACAGATTTGGGCAATTAATTTAAAGTAAATGATGGTGTTCTTGGTGATTCTGTCTTCTCTGGATCTTAAAAATTTGGAAGAAGCCCCCTGTTTAAGTCCACATTTTGCTTGATGCCTTGCTTGTTGTAGGGTGCTGATGCCTACTGCACCATGTAGTTGGCTGCCTGAGTTCTCATTACTTCATATGGAGCATAATTCTTACGGTGATCTATAGCTCCAGCCTTTCTCTTCTGATTGAGGCCTTTGCAGGTTTTGCCTCCCTTACTGTGCAAGGTCAAAACCGTCTTTCAGAGATTTGAAAAGCATTTGAGCTGGAAGGGTAGGGCTTCTTGCTAGATCTGCCTCTAGCTGGGCTCCGGGGTTGATGACCGCTTTCATGCCCAGTTTTGGTGATTCATCTTGCAGCACTGAATGATGACAATGTCTCACAGTGTGTTTGTCACAAAAGGAGCACGTAAACAAAAGCAGGCTCACAAAACAAAGCAACAAACCAGGCTCCCTCGAATGCCAGTGGGACGGGTGCAGGATTCAGAATAGGGAATAACCTGATGCACGTTCAAAGTTTGGGTTTTCTTTCTTTCTTTTTGGCAGGGGGCACTGATTGCCCTGCTTTACTAGTTGCCATTTCCTAAAGATATTGCAAGAGTAGTTGAACATCCTTTTTAGATGGAGGGAGAGCTGTTAATTTTTGACACAAGTATTTTTTGGAAGAGAAAGTGAGAGCTGTCTTTGGCAGAGGGTCACTGCTGGCACTCTGGTGGAATAGGGCATGTTCAGGTCAAAACCACACACCTTGACACAGCAGGTAGAACAAGGCTGCATACGGGAGAAATCCATTTACAAAGAGGCTTCATTTTTGTTTTGTTTTTCTACAAAGTAAATATTGGGAAGACCCCGTAGGTTCTAATTTTAAAATATAATTTCCAAACCAGCTCAATATACACAAATACGACAGTCTGGTGATTGGGGGAAGCGTATGGAGAGGTAGCAACACCAGCACAGTCGAGCTGTTCACTGGACAGTGTGGAAGGCAACGCGCTGGTGTTTAGTGCTTGGAGTATTTGTGTCAGCTGAAATAAAGTGGGGTTTGAAATACAAATAGGCAGGTTGTTCCTTTGTGTGAGGCCCCAGTAAATGGCCAACACCAGTAATTCTTGAGCTCTCTCACTCCCCTTGCAGGCAAAGGAGCTTCCCAGCTGCTTAAACTGGGCATTTTTGTTATTTAAACACCAGATGTGAAGTTGTTTATTGTTAGAAGGTGCCAGCCTTGTGCTGCTTATGGTTCTTAGCTAGTGGCAGTGGGGATTGTGTCATAGTAAAGATAATAGCTCATTTGCAGGTTTCCAATATATTTCCATGTTTTACTATATAGAGCACTAACAACTTCCTTGTGGAAGACCTATAGAAAATTTAGATTGTCTGGAAAAGTCTGCAGGTGTTGAAAATTTGGAGATGGACTACAGGAACGTTTGCTGTAATTACAGACCTGAATACAGTATTAACTGTACGGTGGTGTCTGCTCTTTGTGAGCTGAAGTCTTGCTGACACAACTTAATTTCAGTGCATTGCTATGTATGAGATGCTAATTATTTCATTTGGGTTTGTTTCATTTGTCATTTTATTTTGTAGCCCAGAAGAGAGACCTGCTGGGGTGAGCGCTTCAGAGCTGCTTTCTGCAGCACCCTGCCAGCCAACGGTAGCAGTGAGGAGTCCTTTTTAAGCTGTAGAAATGACAGGTAAGTGTGTGCTCGTGCTTAACACAAACCCACAAGTTACAGCATTGTAGGTACTGTAGTTCTTTTGCCTCCATCTGCCTGTTGTTACCTATAAATGTTTTAATTGAAGGGTGGCTGCTTTTATGTTCATTGCTAAATAGCAGTTAAAGGACAAACACCAACATTATAAAATGGGCATCGCTAAGGAATGTCCCATTTAGCCTGTTGCATGTTCAGCATAATACTTAAGCATATGCTTATAACCTCCTTTGCTTATTAGGATTTTAGCATGTGTTTAGCATTATTTTTTAGCATATGTTAATACTGCTTGCTGAACTGAAGCCTTAAATAGATAAGGGTCAGTCCTGTTACTACAGCAGCACTTAGCAAAACAGCTACCAGTAACTCTCCTGTATTTGGTAGCAGCAACAATTTTATTTTCCTGTGTTTTGACTACAAGGAATACCTTAAACATCCATCAGATAACCTTTTCTTAATGAGCTTAGTACTTAACAGGCCTAAAAAGCATATTTGGTTGAGAAGGTGGGAAGGAGGAAAAAAAAAAAAAATAAAATAAAAGTAATGATAGGTATTAAAAGCCTGTGATAATGTCTAGGAGAGCATTATTTGGATAACATGACCTTATCAGAATCGTGTGTGTGTGTGTATGAGACAGTCTGTAAATGGAGGGGGGGATGGTGACATTTTTTCCCCATGAATGCAACAATATTAATTTTTCAGGGATACAAAGTTCCCCTATCCTTCGACTTCCTAAGAAACTGAGTTGATCTCTTGTTTCCTGTTCCTTATTCCTAAATAAATCCTCTATTTATTTAGGACTTTTCTCTCATTTTTATTATTTCTTTTCCATCTAAAAATGTGGATACATTTTTATGATGACTGTTGAAAGTTCTAATACGTTTTAGTTTACAAAAATAGTAACTAATGGAAGCAATTACTGAAGTAGAAAGCAGTCGTAATACAAAGTTATTTTAAAAGTGGTGTGAAATTTGTATTTCAGTACAGAATTCACAGAAATCAATACAATAATCAGACAGAAGAGACAAGAGCTGCAGTTGTCCTGTCCGTCTGTGCTTGCTAGAGCTGAAAGGTACACGTTTAATTTCTATACTAGCAAAGAATCTTAATGAACTACTTAGCTTGGAATTTCATTTAAATGGCTTCTTAGATGTGTTACTGTTTGATCACTGAACCTAGATTGTTTGCACACAACTTTTTAATTTTTATATATTTGCTGCATGCTGGTTTACGTAAATACAAAGACTGATCTCTGTTTATCTTAGTGCTATTGTTATGCTCATCATATTCCTTAGCATAATAACTTCACTGAGTTGTGCACCTTCCTTTCACAGAAATGCAATTTTAAACATATTTTCTATTAGGAAATTAGTATGTTTTATATACTCTTAAAATTATGTCTGTCATTAAAAAATCAACTACATTTGCTTTAATGTCTAACTGTGTTTTTTTTCTCCTACATGGTTTAGTTCTGACACTCATCTTTTTCTGTAATTGTGTATAAACAGATCCATCTGGAAAGAAATGAAACAGAAAGTAAATGATATAAACTTAAGAGATAAAAGAGAGCAGATGAGGGTTTTTTAAATGTTTTCAAATATATATAATCATTAAAGATAGATTTAATAAAGACATTGAGAAATTGGTTCTGTCCATGATGCTAACTCCCTTGCATCACACTAATCTATCCTTGCCTTAAAACAAAGATTAATGATGAGAAAAATAGATTTATTATTATTATTATTAAAATAATTAAAAGTTGCACCTATATGTTTACATATAATTTTGCTCATGGAAATCTTCATTCTGACTTGTAGATATTAATTTTTTAACATTTATCAACAACCAAATTATTATCTGCCTGCAAGGTTTGACTTTCTTGTGAGGCGTTTCATATGTTTAAACAAATAAAAATAAAAGTGTGTATTTAAAGTGATGCGTTTTTTGGTCACTGGGCTTTTTATATATTTTTGCTAAGGTACATTTGAAACAATTCTTACTCGAGTAAAATATTAAGAACAGCTATTAACTGTGTGGCACAATCTAGAAAAAATATATAAAACCCACCATTATTAATTTGACATTTATACTTTTTCTCTTTTTTTTTTTACTGCAAAGCAGCTGTTCTTTTGCTGAAGGGCTAACTCAGTGTCACAAGTTGTTGCCAGTGGTGCAGCCTGCTGATTTGGAGTAGACTTTTTGCTGCAGTTTTATTTTATGTTGGGCTTTTGAAGAATGGCTTCAACATAGCACACCTGATCACACTGGCTTAATGGATTAGGTGTTAATGGATTGGCCTTGAAATAAACTCAGATTTGATTAGACATTGGCCTAATTAACAAAAAACCTTAGGGCATTCTGTGAATGAGACTTCAGTCTCTTCATTTTCTAGTTCCAATATTTTAGAGAAATTTTGTATTTAGGAGCAATTGTGCTTAATGCAACACTATGCTAGATTATCTGAATGGATGCTCAGACTTTTTTAATCAAGTAAATCATGCTCAGTGTAGCCTCAAGTAGTGTAGCTCAGTTCTTTAGTAGCACTTCTGTGCTTAGTGTCTTAATACAGAGCTGAAGGCCAGAGTGAGGTCCTGGTTGTGCAGGGGAGAACAGAGCTGCCCAGATCTCACTGCAGGGGCTTCTGCCTCCCAATGGCTGGCAAGATTATTGAAATTAAGCTTTGTGCCTTAATCAGTGGGTGCTCCTTAAAAAAAGAGTATTTTGAAACTACCGTGAAAGCATAATACTTGTTTAGTGTTTTTGATAACACTGTTTTTGCCTTATTTTGAACACTTGCTGCAAGCAGCTAAAGCAGCGGCTGTTACTGCTTTTAATTTTCCAGGATTCCTTTGATGTCTTCTGGAGCTGAAGCTGAGGCCTTGCTTCTTACTCCTCCTACGTTGCCAGGGACGATTCTTCCACGCAATATCAGGCCTTTGGAAAACTTTGGTAAACTTTCTTTTTTGTAAGTTTTCTTTATAGCTCGTGTAGAATACTGTCAAAAAGTGATCATTAGAAATCTGAAGAGAATGGTTAGTTGCTGGGGGAGGTCACAGGCTTTTGTGCAGTGTAAGGAGCAAGCTCTTTGCTGACGAGAAGGATCGTGAAGAAATGATGCAGTCTTGGATCTCCTTTAGTACACTAGGAAGCTACGGGGCAAAAGCTTGCCAGAAAGTTCCCTTCGCTGCAGAGTATGGCAGTACCTTGGCAGAAGGGCCGGCAGGGATGGATCTCCCTCCACACTCGCACACAATGTGGTTTCTCTTCCCCCAGCTGCTCTGTAACTGAGACTTAACCAGGGCTGCTCTGTAACGAGTCGTGAGTCGCTCATTTATCTTTCTGATCCTTATTGCAGAAATGTGAACATTAAAATAGGAGCAGAACATTCACCCACCTTAGATTCAGAAATGCACCTCAAACAGTGCTACAAGGTCCTCTTAACCTGAGAGGGCTGGGTGCCCTGGAGTTGATCAGAGAATTTTTTATTCCTGATTTATGTAAGTTAGAACTGAGTCGTGATGATAGAAGGAGAGGAAGAAATTTCAAATCCTTTCCTTATGCTCTGCTTCAGTTTCTTAAACTGTGGAAGAAGGTTATCCTACATTATTGATGAGGGCCCTACTATATTTAATGAATGTTTAATAACTTTAAAATTTAAGTTAAAATATAATTAAAAATAATTAATGAAGTTCAGATCCAAGAAAAGAGACGTTAAGGTATTTGATGGCTGATGCATGAGACCTATCTAAGAATATACTCTTTGAAGAAAGAAAAGGAAAATTCAGGAAAAGTAGTGGGAAAAACAGTGTGCTGGTCCCTCTTTTAGTCATGCTTCCTTGTTAATCTGCACCACAAGGAGAGAAAATGAAGAATTATTCTTTCAAGAGATTAAAAACATTTAAGTGCCAGATTATTTTTTCAGCTTATCTATGGGTGCTGATAGTGCTGTCAAATCCTAGGAGAGGGAAGTAAACCTTTTCTGCTCTTATTCTGGGAGAAACAGGAGATTGTGAGGAAAAGGCAGAAGAGAGGAAACAGGGAGCACACTGACTCAGCACAAAGATTCTGTGCGTGTCTGTTCAGGTAAAGAGCTATAGGGGCTCCTCTTTCTCCTGTGTTTACACGGGAGCACGGACTAGGCAGTTACAGTCAGTGCTCTGCTGTGGCCTTTTAAAGTGGTAAACTGTGAAGTGCTTGAAAAGTCATTCTCAAGATGATCAGATTATGTATGTGCTTTTAATGAGCAAGTGGTGGGTTGTAGAAAGGGGGGGGTGTGCTGTTATGTACTTCTTGTCTTACCGATTTGTGCCTTGTTTTTCTTTAATCAGTTTAAGAAAACATTAAACTGAAATATTTTAGTGCAGTAAAAGCATTGTAAGTTGCAGGCCTGTACGGAGAGTTAGAATTAAGCGTCTTCAAGCCTGGCGTGATGCATTCACTGCAAAACCCAGGCCTTGTAGAAGTTAATGCCTCAGCGAGGGTTTAGTTTATGTATGAAAGTGAAGCTGTAAAAAGAATAAAATTGGACACCGAATTCGTGATGCTTTTTGATGGCTGCATGAAGCCTGGAACACATTATTGTGTATCTCGTGCTGGGGTTTTCACCCTTTTACCTTAAATGCCCAAGGTGCATCATGCGTGTCCCCTTTGCAGGGAATGTGACCCGTGGCTTTCCTGCAGCACCCCTGCCAAGTGCCTGTGACTCCGGGCAGCCGGGCACGGTGTGAGGGAACCCCGGGCGGGAGGGACACGGGAGCGCCGGGCTGCTCCGTGCATTGGGTGCTGCTGCTTGGGAGCTCGCCCGCTCCGTGCGGTGGGTGCTGGTGCTTGGGAACTCGCCGCAGGTCCTACAGGCCCCTGGTGAGCTGGGTGCTGGGCTGTCCGGGGAAGCTGGCACCCAGCCGTGGAGCTGCCAGGTCCTGCTCAGGGCTCGCACGCGAGCCTGGGTCATCTGAAAACAGGTTCCCTGCAAAGGAGCCGGGTCGCAGCCTCAGCCGCCTTTGGGGGATGATCCATGATGGCTTTTTAAAAACACATTGTTCTGCATTTTAAAAACACATTTCCAGAGGGACTTGGATAGACTGGAGGACTGGGTGGTGAGAAACCTCATGAGGTTCAACAAGGGCAAGTGCAGGGTCCTGCACTTGGGGAGGAATAACCCTGGACACCAGTACAGATTAGGGGTGGACCTGCTGGAGAGCAGCCCCGCAGAGAGGGACCTGGGTGTCATGGTGGACGACAAGTTGACCATGAGGCAGCAGTGTGCCCTGGTGGCCAAGAAGGCCAACGGGATCCTGGGGTGCATTAAGAAGAGCGTCTCCAGCAGGTCGAGAGAGGTGATCGTCCCCCTCTACTCAGCCCTGGTGAGGCCACATCTGGAGTACTGCGTCCAGTTCTGGGCTCCCCAGTACAAGAGGGATGTGGAGCTGCTGGAGAGAGTCCAGCGCAGGGCTACCAGGATGATCAGGGGCCTGGAACATCTGCCCTATGAGCAAAGGCTGAGAGAGCTGGGCCTGTTCAGCCTGGAGAAGAGGAGGCTGAGGGGGGACCTAATCAGTGTCTATAAATACCTCAGGGGAGGCAGTGAGGAGGAGGGGGGCGGCCTCTTTTCAGTGGTGGACAGTGATAGGACTAGAGGAAATGGTTTCAAACTGAAGCATCGGAAGTTCCACAGGAACTTCAGGAAGCATTTCTTCACTGTGAGGGTGACAAAGCACTGGAACAGGCTGCCCAGAGAGGTTGTGGAGTCTCCTTCTTTGGAGATCTTTAAAACCCGCTTGGATGCAGCCCTGTGCCACGTGCTCTAGGTGACCCTGCGTGAGCAGGGGGGTTGGACTCCATGACCTCTGAGGTCCCTTCCAACCTTCGGCATTCTCTGATTCTATGCGGTGTTGGGCTTCACTGCCAAATCCCTCTGCCAACAGGCCTTCCATTTAAAATGCCCGCAGCTGCTGTAAGCTAACAGGGCCATGCAGATAACTCGTTACCCTACTAGTGTTTTAGTTTCTGACCATTTAATACCGACCTTGGCTCAGCTCACTAAGAGTGCCACTACTGCCCACGTAGCACTGATGATGCTGCTTCTGAAACACACCCTTAGGGGTTAACTAACATGTCTCTTCCTTGGTCTGTGTTCTTTGAACTCTGTATTAAACAAAATATGACTGGCTGTTTAAGCCTAGTAAACCTTATGATATGAGGGTGTCTCTTAAACCAGAATTAAACATTCTGAACTATATTGGCATAAATGTTACGAGACTTTAACATACTCTGCTTGTTTTAGAATCCTCAGGCAAAGGATATGCTGTTGCCTGTACCCAAGAAGGAGAAGAGAAGCAGCAAGCGTCGGGTTCATCTGGCACTAGAGGAACTCGGAAGAAGCCTCTTAATCCTGCTCCTAGAAGGAGGTCTGCACGGACCAGCAGAAATGGGGCTCTTGGCCACTCTCAGAGCTCACCTCAGTCAGGCAATTCTGGATGCAATGCCCTTGATGGCAGTAATACCTCCCTGGATAAATCACCTTCAGAACTGGAGAAAGCTCTTCCAAAACGGAAGTCTAAAAGAACAGTCAAACAACAAACACCTCTGATTAAGAAGAAGCTGAGAAGTTCTGCACGTTCTGAAAAATCTTCCAGTGATTCAGTGGAAGATGATGACGTTGCCGAGTCTGAAGCAGTTGCAGCGCTCAAAAAAGATCATTTGTCAGGTAATGAAAGCAACAGTACAAGCCTCCTGCACAGAAATAATGTGGAAACAGAACCTGCTAATGGAGTGGAAAGCTGTAGTGAACATGCAGAAACTGAGGAGGCCACAGGAGAATGTGGCAAAGATGAAGATGCTTCAAGAAATACTGATGCAGGTTTGTCTGTCCAAGAACCTCCAATATTAACGTTAGAGGAAGAAAGTCTGGAATTTGAAATAAAGGATGATACTGAAAAAAATGTAGTTATTAAGAATCAGGACAGCAATGAAGATACTCTTGAACAAATGGAAGCAACGACCATTCCCAGGGATGAGTTACTGGAGCATACAACAACACTGGAAAAAGATCAGGCATTGGCTAGTCCTCAGAGTGATTTATTGGCAAATGTTGAAACATTAACAAAAATAGATCAACCGAAAGTTAGCTCAAAAAATGAATTGTTGGAATATCCAGAGTCTTTGGAGAAAAACTGCACATCAGAGAGCACCAGCAGAATATCACAAGAGCCTTCAGAAGTCATAGAAATAGAGGATTCTGAGGCTGAGGAAAGGACAGTAGTAGACACTGTAAGCACCGATATGCAAAACTTAGAATCTGTCCAAGATGAAGAAACAAACAATAGTGCCCCAGACAGTGCCTCAGAGCAGTCCTTAAAAGAGAAGGCTGCGCCAGAAAGTGAAGAGGGTAGAACTTCAGAGGCACCCGAAGTAGACAGTGCACGGAAGCATTTTGGTGAAGATAACAGTGAAATGGTACCGATGGATTGTGACTCATTCTGCAGTGACCAGAATGAACCTCAGGTTGAACAGTTACCACCAGCTGAGAGGAGAAGACATCAAGAGGAAGAGAAATTGTTAGAAAATGAGGCTGGAAGCTCTACATCATTTTCAGGACTCTCTGATGGAAAAGTTGAAACGATTGCTCAGGAGAAAGAGTGCCAATCAGAACTTAAAAAAGATAAAAAGACTCGAACTAGAAGATCTAGATTTCACTCTCCATCAACAACTTGGTCTCCTTCTAGGGGAGAGAGTAGGAAATCCCAATCACCATCCCCCAAACGGGAGGTAACCAAAGACAGGAGCCCTCCTCGATCACCAAAGCAGGAAACTGTTCGGGAAGGAGGGAGGTCCTCCTCTCCGTCTCCACAAAGAGAGACGTTCAAAGATGAGAAGAAAACAGCATCTCGATCTCCCAAAAGAGAAACTCTCAGGGAAAGCAGAAGATCATCTTCTCGCTCAAGAGCTAGGGATTCCTCTCCAAGGCAGAAATCTAGATCTCGAAGCAGCGACAGAGATTGTCAAAGAAGAGATCGTGACAGAGAAAGAAGAAACAGGAGATGGTCGAGGTCGCGGTCACGGTCTAGGTCAAGATCACGCTCTAGAACAAGAAATAAGGGTTCTTCGTCATCCAGGAATGAGAGGGATGGTCATTCACCTCGGTGGAAAGAGAGATGGACAAATGACAGTTGGAGAAGTCCCAGAGGAAATGATCGGTACAAAAGGAGCGATCAGGAAAAACAGAATGAAAATATTAAAGAGAAGGACGATGCAGAAAAACATAACGATGATCAGTGTTCCTCAGACAAGCGCAGAAATGACTGTCCAGACTGGGTAATGGAAAGGATAAATTCTGCTCCGGAGATGAGGAACAGAGAGCACGACAGAGCACATTGGGAGGACTACCGGCATGAGAACTCGGGGCACTCTTGGAATAAAAACTTCAACTCTGGTTGGACCTCAAATCGAGGGAGAGGTGGCCGTGGGAGAGGGGGGCGCGGAAGAGGTGGCTTCGTGTATGGAGACCAGAGTGAAAATCACTGGCAAAACAGAAAACCCCTCTCAGGGAACTCGAATGGTTCTGGGAACGAGGCCGCGAGGCTGCCCGACCACCAGCCCTACAGGCGCAAGAGTGAGCAAGATTATTCCTTTGACACCCCTGCGGACAGGTCTGGCTGGACATCGGCCTCCAGCTGGGCCGTCAGAAGGACTTTGCCTGCGGACGTGCAGAATTACTACTCGAGAAGAGGGCGGAATTCGTCAAGCCCACAGTCCGGCTGGGGGATGAGGCAGGACGAGGAGCCCCCTGAGCAAGGTACTCCCGCTTTGGGGAAGTGAAAGGTAACTCAGCCACGGCTGCAGTGGATAGGTAACGTGCTGGTCAGTGTCCCACGTGGAGTTTTAGCTCTTCAGAATAATTTGGGGTGAATCCCTAGTCTTTTTCTGACATGAAATTTGTAGGTGTGCAGTCTTGGTGGGCTTTGGTGTGGGGCTTTTGATAGTTTTCTTTTCCAAAAAGGCAGCTTCTGTTTTTTCTTTAAGTCGCAAGATTTATATCCTAGTTTAATGACAGTGCATCTGACGAGCACTGCTAAGGAACTGGATTGATTTGCAGGGAAAGCAGAGCCTCTTCCTGGTTCCCGTTAGTGTCTGCCCACCTTTTTAGAGGAGGTGGGTTTTTCAAGGAGATCTGCCTCTGTGAAGGCTTGCACAGTAGAGTCTAGAGATAAATCATCGTGTTGACTTTTATCTTGCTTTTAAACAGACTTTCCCCTTCTTAAGTGCTCCAGGTAAAGAAGGAAGACTTACAAATGCAGAAACGTAACCTTATTTGAGCATAAAAAAAATCGCTATAAAGTCCCAGTGGAAGTCTAACGTTCTTGTGTCCTTTCTATTTATAAGCTAAGTGCCCTGATTGGAATAAAGCTTTTGGTAGAAGATGCCTTAACTGCAGATTAGGTTGATGCTGAAGAACTACAAAATTGCCCACGAGTGATTAATGCTTTTAAATAAATAGCATCATGTGAATTATAAATTAAAAGAGGTGTAAAATCCATTTCTGAAGACCCCTCTTGCACCTTCCCACTCACTGCCTTCCTGTTTAATCTTCTATCTTTGTTTTCACCTTAAGTGTTTTCCTCCTCTGTTCAGAGAGGCATCCATGGCCCCTCGGTGTTGACAACCCTCAGTTTGCTGTAGGCAACAGTTATCCAGCCTCTCTGGCCTTATCCAGCCTTTCATGGAAAGGACTGGCTGGCTGATTGGCCGGCTTCATGTCACAGCGTTTGGGAACGACTGCACTGTTGTATCTGTGCCCAAAACATGAATTTGGGCTGAGAACAGGGCAGTATTTTCTGCAGTCTGGGTGAAATACGCTGGCTGCTCTCGGTGAAGGTGGTTTGGGAAGAAGCCGGCTATCGGTCCAGGTGATAGACAGGCGTTTTTGGCGCCTTGTGCATCGCGAGGAGTTGGGACACCTGGTTCCACCCGTGCGTTGTGTAATCCCGGGGTTTGTTCTTCATGCCCTCTGCCTGTCCGTCTCTTGCCAGACCCGAGCCTGCAGGACCCGGGCGGGCAGCAGAGCGACGTCCCGCAGCCGCCCGTGACGGCGCTGGCGGGCGCCCAGCACCAGCCGCTGGCCGTCTTCCCCTACCCCGTGGGCGCCCCGCCGCCCGCGGTGCCCGTGCCGCGGAGCCCCTTCGGCGTCGCCCCGCCGCTGCCGTTGCACCTGCACGCCGGCGTGCCGCTGCTGCCCGTGGCCGCT